ATTCAAACCTTGTCACCCTTGGTTTTCCCCACTGCAAACTAAACACCTCTGTCCCCTTTTTTCCCCCACTGCAACTTCAAACTCTGTCCCCCTTGGTTCCCACTGTCAATTCAGCACCTTGTCCCCCTTGGTTCCCCCCTGTCAACTCAACCTCTTTCCCCCTTTGGTTCCCCCCACGTCAACTTCAGACCTCTGTCCCCCGGGTTTCCCCTGTCAACTCCACCTCTGTCACCCTTGTTCCCCCACTGTCAACTCACCCCTTGTCACCCTTGGTTCCCCCACTGAAACCCAACCCTCTGTACCTTGGTTCTCCCACTTCAACTTCAACACCTCTGTCACCCTTTTTTCCCCCACTTTAAACTCCAACACCTCGCACCCTTGTTCTCCCACGTCAACTTAAACACCTCTGCCCCCTTGGGTTCCCCCACTGTCAATTTTAAACACCTCTGTCCCCTTGGTTTCCCACTGTCAACTAAACACTCTGTCCCTTTTGGTTCCCCCACTGTAAATTTTTAAACACCCTGTACCCTTGGTCTCCCACTGTCACTACACCTCTGTCCCCTTGTTTCCCACTGCAACCCCAAACCCTCTGTCCCCTTTTGGGCTCCCCCACTGTCTCTTCGCACCTCTGCCCCCTTGGGTTCTCCCACGTCAACTAAAACCCTGTCACTGCTCCCATCCAAACCCCTCAACCTCCCAAAAACCCCAAAACCCCCCCCAAACATCCACAACCACCAAAATAACCCAACTACCCCCATCTAACACAAAAACCACAACTCCCAAAGGGGTAAACCCAACCACAATCTCCCACCATCGGGTAACACAACAACCCAATCTACCACCATCGGGTAAACAAAAACCACCATTATTTAAAAACCCTTTCCCCCCCTTACACCCTCATCTATACATAAACTTAGATTGCTGCTGTAATACCCAAAAGGTGTTTTGCCCTCAAGTATTTTCCCCGGAGAAGTACAAAACTTAATGTATTTTCACAAGGTTAAATATTTATATAATTATATAATAATATATATAATAAAATATATATATTATATAATATTATATATATATAAAAATATAATATTTTTTTTAAGACAAAGCTCTTTTTGGGAAAACGTTTTGCCTGTAAGAGCAAATTTTTTAAGCGATAAAACTCTTTAAACTCTGCCCGGAGGAAAAAGGGCCCACAAAGGCAGCAAGAGCGAAAATTTTTTAAAAAGAACGGAAAAACAGTAGACAAAACTACCCAGAGCGAAACTCGCCCAAAAAAAAAGTTAAAGTCGCTCCAAAGTTGGTTTTTTTTTCCCTTTTTTTTCGTGGGGGAATTAAGGGCCCCGCGATCCCCTGAGGGAACGAAAAAGAATTCTGGGACAGCAACACCACACACCCACACCCCCACCAAAAACCATAAACCCAAATCATGGGGCCAAAAAAAATTTCCCTACTGCTTAAAAAAGGGGGCCTTTTCCCTTTACCGGGGGGGGGGTTTCTCTTTCCCCCCAAAACCCAACAAAAAGGGGACCCCTTTAATAATAACCAGGAAAAAAAAAAAAAAAAAAAAAAAAAAAAAAAAAAAAAAAAAAAAAAAAGCGGCCGAAAACTTTATTTTCCCCCGAATGTCATTAAAAGGGGCCCCCCAAATTTTTTTCCTTTTTTTAAGGGGTCCCTGTTTTAAAAAAAATTTCCCTTTCTTTCCCCCCTCCTTTTCCCCAATTTTTTAGCTAACAAACAAATAATTTTTTTTATTAATAATTATTTAAAATAAATTAAAATTTTTTTTTTTAAAAAAAAAAATTTTTTTTTAATTTTTTAAAATTATTTTGGGTTTAAAATGGCAATTGCGCTATTTAAAATTTCCCCCCTTCGAAATTTTTTTTTTTAAATATATATTTTTTTATTAATTTAAGTAAAAATTTTTAAATTTTGCCCCAAAAAGAATCTTAGAAAATTTACCTAACCTTTTTATAACAAAACAATTTATTTTACCTAACCCAATAAATATATTTTAAAAATACGTTTTACAATAATTTTAGTATGAAAAACACAATCAAATATTTTTTTTTTCGTTAGGTTCAGAATGTTTTTGGCAAAAATTATTGTTACACAAAATTTTCACTTGTCCTATATGGCAAGATGACTTTGCTTTTTAACCCAAGATCGCAAGTTCTCCCTATCGCCACGAAATTATATTAATAAAATTATATATATAAAATTTTAATTATATATATATTATATATTAATATAATATATTATATATAGTCGTGCCGAATAGTAAAACGGGTCAATTAGCAAGAACTCATTTAAAATTAAGTCCTTCCTGAAATTTTCTCTTATACTTTTTAAATATATATGTTTTTTCATTAATGTTAATGTAAAAATTTTTAATTTTGCACCAAAAGAATCTTAGAAAACATACCTAAACCTTTTTATAACAAGAGCAATTTATTTTAGCCTAACCCAACTAAATATATTTTAAATACGTTTACAATAATTTAGTATAAACAAGCACAATCAAATATATTTTTTTCGTTAGGTTCAGAATGATTTTGGGAAATTATTGCTTACACAAATTTTCACTTGTCCTATATGGCAAGATGAGCGTTGCTATTTAAAGCCAAGATCGCAAGTTCTGCCTATTCGCTACGACATATATATATATTATATATATATATATATATATATATATATATATATATATATATATATATATATATATATATATATAATATATATATATATATATATATATATATATATATATATATATATAATATATATATATATATATATATATATATATATATAATCACTGAAAACGGAAGTAAAGGTTAATCTTTTGTAACTGACAGAAAACGGAAGTCCATTAGCGAACGTATATTTTTAGCTCACCGGAAACGGAAGTGGGGTATCGCCTTGCGGGAAACATCGCCGCTAAGACTGGCACCACGAGCAGTAAATCGTCTTGAAAAACTAAAGCTCTTTGACTGGCTACTTTGTGGAGAGTTTCAAGTCTTTCGACTGCACGAGTCATATATATGTCGTGCCGAATAGGTAAAACTTTCGATTTTGGCTTAAATAGCAACGCTCTTCTTGCTGAATAAGGCAAGTGAAAATTTGTGTATGCAATAATTCCCAAAAATCATTCTCACCGTAACGAAAAAAAATATGTTTCATTGTGTTTGTTTATTATTAAATTATTGTAAACTTACCTAAAATATATTTAGCTGGATTAGGCTAAATTAAATTACGATTGTTATAATAAGGTTAGGTAAGTTTTCTAAGGTTCTTTTGGTAAAAAGTTATTAATTTTTACATTAACATAAATGGAAAAATATATCTTTAAACGTACAAGAGAAAATTTAAGAAAAGACTTAACTTTAAATGAGTTCTTGTTAATTGACCAATTTTACCTATTCGGCACGATATATGTATACACACACACACACACACACATATATATATATATATATATATATATATATATAATATATATATATATATATATATATATTATATATATATATATATATATATATATATATATATATACATATATATATATATATATATATATGTGTGTGTGTGTGTGTGTGTGTGTGTGTGTGTGTGTGTGTGTGTGTGTGTGTGTGTGTGTGTGTGTGTGTGTTGTGTGTGTGGTGTGTGTGTGTGTGTGTGTATGTGTGTGTGGTGGTGTGTGTGTGTGTGTGTGTGGTGTGTGTGGTGTGTTGTGTGTGTGTGTGTGTGTGTGTGTGTGTGTGTGTGTGTGTGTTTGTGTGTGTGTGTGAGTGTTGTGTGTTGTGTGTGTGTGTGTGTGTGTGTGTGTGTGTGTGTGTGTGTGTGTGGTGTGTGGTGTGTGTGTGTGTGTGGTGTGTGTGTGTGTGTGTGTGTGTGGTGTGTGTGTGTGTCAAGAAGAAAATAACACAATTGGTATCTAATATTTTGCAGTCGAGGTCCCTGGAAAGCAGGAATTACGTAAGATACAGTAGACTGGCTGACTCAGAAGTTGTTACTTCCGTGTGTGAGAGCCAAGAATTAACCAGGATCAACTGGAAGCCGGGTTAGGAAGGCAGGGTCAGCTGGAAGCTGTTTTAGGATTGCAGGATCAGTTGGAAGCCGTCTTAGGATGGCAGGATCAGCTGGTAGCCGTGTTAGGATGGCAGCCAGGTTGGACCAGCCTTGTCACACTAGCTCCAAGGTATCCATGCGTCGTTGGTGAATGACAAGGCACATGTATAACCCCTGGGTATGTTTACCTGTTGAAACTTATCGTCTGCGTAGCAGGCTTCTTTCATCGAGTAGAGGAGTGATTTTATTCTTTAGATAGTGTAAACGTGAAGAGGTAGTTTTGAGTTGTTCAGTCGATGATTGTATTAATATTGTCAAAGAAATGGTGTACGTGTGACTAGCGTGTGTCCCCGAGGAGGGAGGGACACGTCTCCGGTCACAAGGTAACAAGGAAGGAGAATCCAGCTGTTCAAAATCTCCCACGTCGATCATGCATGCCTAGATTAACGTGGGTGCAGGTCTAGATTAACGTGGGCGCAGGAGTAGATTAATGTGGGTGCAGCAGTAAATTAACGTGGATGCAGAAGTAGATTAACGTGGGTGCAGCATTAGATTAACGTGGGTGCAGCAGTAGATTAGCATGGGTGCAGCAGTAGATTAACGTGGGTGCAGGAGCAGATTAACGTGGGTGCAGAAGTAGTTTAACATCGTGCACTGTTAGATTACCGAGATTTCATGCGTAGATTAACGTCGTGTATACGTGCAACAGCAGAGATGCGGGTGTAGATCAACAGAGGTTTAAAAGACATAGATTAACGGAGGTTGAAGGAGTAGATTAACGAGAGGGGGACAGGTGCCGAAAGGCAAAGGGGGAGGGCCCCTCACACCCTACCCCTTTGTTATCTCCTCCTCGCCCCTATCCACTAGTGTATCCTGGTGATTGGTCACTGCTGCCTGGCTCCTCACGCCCCCAGGGGGCGCCAGCACACGTAGACATGAACAGAGGAACAAGTTTAACTTCGCCAACCGGCTCACAGCTGCACCGAACAGCATCTGTGGCTGTCTTTTCTGGCGTCACCCCAACGGTGCAACATCATAGGAGTGAAACTCGTGTGTGTTCCGCGACCTGGAGACACTGTGTTGCATCCCCTTCTCCTCCTTACCCCCTTTCTCCAAGCCACCCCCGGCGCCTTACAAGCCATCCCTGACGACCTCCAAGCCACCCCGGTGTCCTTCGTAGATTCTCAGATAGATGCTGGTTCGAAGATTATCACAAGTGGAGCAGTTTTATTGGCTGTGTCTAGCATCTTCTCTCCCTCCCTCCAGACCATCATCTGTCGTCTACCAAACATGATGCTCAGGTGTCAGGGCGGTACATTATAGGCGCTAATCAACATAAACTGTCAGTGAAGGAGGTAATTATGTTTCGTCAGTCGATAACTGATGATACCGGATATAACGAGAGAGAGAGAGAGGGAGAAAGGGAAAAGATAACGATGAATAAGAGATTATTGAGAGGGCTTTGCATGGTGAGCCTGTGGTGAGAAGTGACAGGTAGTCTCACCTACTGACTCGACTCTTCTTTCTAACCCCAACACTGATCCCATGTCTGCTATTTATTTCTAGTTATCTTACCGCAGTTCACTTCTAGAATTCACTTCACTCTTTCAGAAATCTTCTGTTCCAGCTAATAAATTATCATTATTATTATTATTATTATTATTATTATTATTATTATTATTATTATTATTATTATTATTATTATTATTATTATTATTATTATTATTATTATTACATTCACAAAAAATGCTAAAGACCTTATTAATTACTGATTCGGACACAGACTTTCTTGTGATCTGACATAATTTTAAAAATGTCTCAAATCTGACACAAAAAATAACGAAGACTTTTTTTTTCTCCTTCCAGAGCTTGTGATTCGTTTACCAATCACTGTTCTTCTTCCCACGCTGGCGTACCGATCACGGTATCCAGGAGGTGGCAAGACGAAGGAGCCCGCCAGTTACTTTTACGGCAGGATCCACTCCAGGCCAAGGGATATGGAAACAAATAACTTATTTGACATCCGCGGTCCGGAGGATCGATTCCTGACCTCTCAGGAGAAGCCGTACGATCCCTCTTCGCCAGAGTACCAAGAAGACAGGTGAGCGAACGTCTTGCTGTTCCTTCATGACTGGAATAGTAATCGGTTTGATTGTGATGTAATTTTGCGCGTGATTGTATGTTTAGGTTTAAATATCTCGAGTTGCGGAAGGGGGTTCGAGCCTCCACTAGTCCTCGACTGAAATAGAACAAAGCATTGCATCGACTCCTACCCAGGTGGCCTGGGCTACGTGTTGCCGCCAGACTCTCTTATATCCTAGCACTTGTTCCCATGTTCATGAAATACTCAGTGCGTAGCATCTAATCTGTCTTCTCCTTCAGCTGCAACCACTAACCTGAGCGTCCTTACCTGCAGCGTGTCTTAACATTTCTTTGAATATTATTTACCTTCCCTTTACCTGGAGAGGGTTTCGGGGGTCAACGCCCCCGCGGCTCGGTCTGAGACCTGTTGGGTATTTCAACTCCCGACTTCTTCCTCTTCTCCACAGAGAGTTCGGCCCACTACTCTCCCGCCTGGACGCTTACTTCCACTTACTGGGGCTCCAGGACGACCACTGCCGCATGCGGGCCATCTGCCAGCTGGCAGAAGACCCCACCACTTTCGCCCCCCTCTCACACCTCGTCCTCTCAGCTCTAAAGTGAGTACTGAGTAGTGAGTACTGAGTGCTAGAACTCTCACGTTTACCCCCTGATGGCGTATCTTAATCCACAGGAAATATACATATACATAATATATATGAAAAAATCGCGAACAAGCGATGCAAGATGCAAAACAACTACGGGGGGGGGGGAGTTGACTGATAGCTCTAGGCCTTTCAAGACATTATCAGGACATTGTAACGTTGCAGTAAAGAGCAAAGGCGCTTCCTCTGATCGAATTTGCTTGGACCTCCTCCTATTTTCTGCAACATTGCAAGCTCCTGATGATGCGTTGATTGCAACACGAATATATATATATATATATATATATATATATATATATATATATATATATATATATATATATATATATATATATATATATATATATATATATATATATACATATTGTTGCTTATTGCATTGCAATACTGAACTATTTTTCTTTGGATTTGGATTTTTTGTCAGCCTCCGTCTTGCACGATAAATCGATCTCGTGCAAACGGGTTTGAAGTGATTTACGTAATAATGTAGGTATCAGCTGGGCGGCTGAGTGCTCCACACCCTCCAGGGATGCCATTATCTTTCAGGGAAAACCTTGAGTCGAACTCATCTTAAAAGCAACATGATCCACACTGTTGAGGTTCAAGCATAAGTTATCGATCTGTTGATGGGGGAGGGGACGTAGGAAGGGGGGGAGGAGCGGGTTGTTGGTATGGAGGGAGCGGGATGGGTAGTGATAGGGTAGGGGCTTTAGGGATGGGGAGTGGAATAGACAGGGCGGGAGTTGAGGTGGTGGGATCAGGAGGGAGTGTCTAAACACGTGTGTGGGGGAAGAGGAGAGAAAGTGTAGGATTGTGGGGGATATGAGACAGTAGTCAGTACCGTTTCTCACCGCTATCACGCCCACACTATTTTTATTATGTATTCAAACGCCTTTCCATCTTCAGATATCCACACATACATTTTTTCCCGCTCTAATTCCACTACGACAGTGAGGCTAGAGTGCGCACTACAACGCCAGGGTGCGCCAGGGTGCGCCAGGGTGCGCAATACAACGCCAGGGTGCGCACTACAACACCAGGGTGCGCACTACAACGCCAGGGTGCGCTAGGGTGCGCAATACAACGCCAGGGTGCGTGCTACAACGCCAGAGTGAGCTCTACGATGCCATCGTGGCGTCCTAGCACATAAAATTCTAGTAGGCACAGACACCTAGGGTAGAGGAAATAGCAGACTCCTGGTGAAGTCTTATGTCTCATTGCTTTGTTTACATTCACCATTTTCCCTGACCTTGTTAATGTTGCCTTGTGCCCTGAACATTAATCTCACAGTGGGAAAACTTTACGAATCCCTTTAAAAATCTACCTTAGTGTTCAAATTTTTTTTATGCATAAAGTTTTCTTGACATTATATGTGCGTAGTATACCACACGTGGGAGTTTTGTTGTACGTGGGCGTGGTATCGGATCATGTAGGCGTTGTACACTACATGTAGGTATTGTATTGCGTGCGTAACGTGTGCATGGTGTTGCATAATGTGGGCGTGGTACAACAGCAGATGAAGGTTACTATAATTGATGACTTTTCTGGATGTAATGGTGTGGATGCTCGGCGTGTTGAGGTAAACGCCCACTTCAGGACTCCCAGTAGTGATCAGTAATGGTCATATCCACAGTGGGACGCCCAGTAGGGTTAAGTGGTCATCGGTGGTGCACTATTAGAAGGTCGAACAAATAGTCACTAAGATCTCAAAACAACATTCTGGTTGTGGAAGGCAAAAACCCAAGCCGTCCCCACCTCGCGTGGGGGCGCCCTGCCTGGAGGTCTAACGGATTAAACTGGGCTCTCCAACAGCCACCGAGTCCCGTGTCACGTGCTCACCCTCCTCACTCGCTGAACAACAGATCCGATGCTTTGTAATCCTTTATAAGCGGGTCGTGATTATCATGGAACCTGCTGCCCGCGTGTCAAGGGACAGCTTTGGAAAAAAGTGAAGGTCGTCGGAGCCGGTCAGTCTTGTCTGCAGACAGAAAAGTGGCGCTGCCATGACATTCCGACCTGATGATCACGATGTCCAGGGACTGGTTGGTCACTCTGCAGTCTCGTAACACGTTTTTCCATACACATTTACTACTGAAGTTTATGGAGAGAATACAAATACTTGTAGCACCTTACTTGAACACAACTGTTGTCTGAGGAAACGTGATGGCAGTCTGTGTCTCTTTCCACCAGAAGCTTTTGTTATTATTTTGGTGTTGATGGGCACAGGTTGAAGGAGGTTCACTTTCTTAGAAACTTGTGAAGGATACGACTCATATGTGGTGTGTATTTTAGCTTCTGTGACACTCAAGAATGGCAAAACAAACGATACGATTAGAATATTGTCTTCGGGAGAGTGTTATATGGAGGCGACAGCCTTTACAGGTTCTGCAGATGGACCACAGCAAGGATTGGCTGGGTCAAGCACCTTCCCTTAGCTGCCTCCTTGCCTGTATATGAATAACCCTCTTGGTTGTTAGAAGCTCCTCTTGAAACTGCCTTGTAGAGAAGAGGGAGCAGCAGTGGTGGCAGTGGTGGTGGAGGTGGTGAGGGACGCCAGGCTCGGTGACCACAAGGTCGAATTCTAACACGCACTTGATTTGTTACCACGCGGAAGCTCTTGCTAGAATCTGGATCGGCGTTTCCGTTTGCACCTTCCCGGCATATGGTTCCGGGATGACACGCTCCAGTTTTTTTTTTTTTTTAATTTTGCAATCTTCTGGTGCACCATTGGTTCAGCACAGTGTGAGGAGAGAAAGGCTGAGGGAACAAGAGGCGAGGGCGAGAGGCAAGTGGTGGTCTGGGGCAATGCTCACAAACAAGATAACCTTGCCCGCGTAATGCTCAAGGAGCCGCTGATTGTGGCACCAGCCAATGATCACCCACTAGACAGCCCCTCGCTATTCACTGTACAGCCTGGTAATGGCTATAGTGCAATATATTCATGCACCTGAGCCACATATTCATGCGTAAGTGATAATTTCGCATCTCAAGGCACAATATCATAAACAAATAACCGGCACATTAGAGAGAGAAGCTTACGACGACGTTTAGGTCCGACTCGGACCATTTACCTGGAGAATCAGAGGTAATCAAGTCTGATTCTATTTCCCTGGATCAAGAGTACTTCACTTTCCAAAGGAGCAAGAGAGGATGTGTGACTGCTGGTGCTGAGGGGTTGACCAGTATGATGCTGACTCATTATTCGCACACCCAGCACACTGTTGAAATACCCTGCACTTATTCAGCACACCCTGAGCACACTCTGAGCGCACCCTGAGCACACCCCGAACACAACACATCCTTCCTGTACATCTTCACAGGAAGGATACGAAGACCTACTACTCAGGACTTCCCGGAAGACACTTATCAACACCAGTACCGTACTAAAGGTTGGAGTAAAATCTGTGTACGCCTTAGGCTCTAAGCTCTCTCCTCGTCGGTCCCACGGAGAGGGGAAGTAGAAGGGGTGGGGATAAACTACGTTTGAAACGAGGAAGGGGAACGTAGTTATAATTCCTTGAATCAAGACACCTTGAGGGATTGTAGTAGTTGAGCTTTGAATTTAATATTTATGCCAATGATTCATAGTTATTCCCAGCCCACAAACAGGAGTCGAAACCAGACGACGTTCAGACCAGTTTTGGACAATCATCATGTCGTGAGAGATTAATGTGACTTTTTCTCTGTTTCAGGAAGAGTGAGTCGTTCTCCCGGCAGTCATTGTACAGCCCGGCAGTGTTTCGCTTCTTCCGGTACTACTGGTCAGCTGAGATGGGCGCGGCAAGAGGGGACTGTGCCCACGCCTATCCCCAGTGCCCAGCTGACCTTGAAGACATCATCAACATGAGTGTACTCAACTTCTGGCAAAGCCTCGCTTCCTACATATCCATCAAGCTGAGTGATGAGTGATGGATCGCCTTGCTGTTTCTTAACTCACCCCTCCATCCACGGTGCCAATTGTTGCCTGATGTTACCACTGGTGCCTCCGTCCCTTCCCCCTCCTCTCCTTCCCAGCCGTGTGCCACTCCCCAGCACATACACACACACACTGATGTTACCAGCCCCGTCGCTAGTGCCTGGAGGGGGCGGGACAGCCGCCCCCCACCACAACTTGTTACCACCCAGTTACTACTGTCCTCAAGTCGCCATTCCCTCCTTGTGCCGCCCACAGGCGACGCTTTTATAAGTTGCCACATCGGACTATCGTTCCTGTTAAGTTTCCCCTTGAGAGTCTCTGTGTTCCTTAGGACCTCGATGCCGTCACCCAGGTCCTAATGTGATGATTATTATTATAACTTGTTTTCCTCAAATGCCTTGTTAAGTTTCCAAGCCTTGGACAGCCGGGACGCCAAGTCCTAAGCGAACCCGGGTGATAACTTAACGAACCCGGGCGCTTGGTCCTTAGTGAACCCGGGCGTGCCCTTATTTTTATTCCCTTCCTCCCCGCCGCTGCTGAAGCAGAGGATCTCGTTACCCGTAGAGGTGTTCAAGTGTGACGCGTTTTAACCTGTGATATACTAGTTTATTTTTATGTGTCTGACCCGCCAGTTAGCGGCCCCACGGCACCTGCCCACCGACCACCACCACCACCACCACCCAGTCACCCACACCCCGTAGTCATTCCACCCACCTGCACCCCTCACCCCACACCCGTAGTCATTCCACCCACCTGCACCCCTCACCCCACATTCTGTAGTCATTCTCCATCAACCTCCACCACAGTCTGCAGTCATTCCATAGTCACCTCTTTCTATGTTTGACCATTGATCCAACCTGTCTTCTGGACTGAGTTACTCATTTAAAACTCATCGATCATCATGAATAAACTCGTATTGTCTGATCATCCAAAAACAAAATATTCTGTGATTTTTTTCATATCTTATCAAATATCACAGTTAAAATATTTTATGCCTCTTACTAATTCCCGAATTTCAGGATCAAGACATGTATATGACTTAAAATATGTGTGTACTGACGTTACTCTCACAGTCATGTCACATTACTAACTAGTCTTCTACACAGATCATTATTCATGTTAATGAGAGACCAGTTTATTGCTCCCTTTGTTCACCCACAATACTTCGTCTACATTCACTTGTACGACCAGAGAAGACAGTGACTCACTCTTACTCATTAATCAACTCACCTACTTATTCAGCCGACCAAACAATGCTAATCTTCATCAGCCCCTGACAGACATCGAATCCTAAATCCACTCCCGAATCCCACTCTTAAACCCACTCGTAAGTCCACTCCTGCATCTACTGATTTTGCCGAAGAATCCTGACTAAGATTGTGCCCAGTCTTAATCGACCTTTGGACCTTTAGCAGCCGACCTTAATGACGTTGCTTGTGAACCCAATAAAAAATAATAATGGTATCTGAGGACTAACTCATGGGTAAGTAACAATGAGAGAACGACCTCGAGTGAGACCCAGCGTGACCTCAATCATGCCTGACCTAGCTCGGTTACCCTTTGACCTTTCATGACCCACAGCATCGAACAGATTACTGACAAAGAAAAGACAGCCTTTGGCCTTGTGTAGAGCTGGTGGAAGTATAGAGCTTTCATCAAGCTCTACATAGAGCGAAACGTTCCTCAGGGGAAAGTTCTTTTTTTTTTCTCTCTCTCTCTCTCTACTACGTTCGTAGTTTCTTCAAGACGTATTTATTAAGACGACGTTTCGCCCAAGGAGGTCTTTGCTAAGAAAGACTGTTAGTGACTGCTGCGGGTGACAGTTATTGTCTCTCAGATGTGTTCGTCTCCAAGTTCCGTCTAGTTTTTTTTTTTTTAGTTGTGTGTTTCGTGTTTCGTAGACATATTCATTGGCTGAGCTTGTCCACTTGACTGACTGAATTTGTCCACTTGACTGACTGAATTTGTCCACTTGACTGACTGAATTTGTCCACTTGACTGAACTTGTCCTTATGATTGACTGAGAGTGCTCTCATCACTGACTGAACTTGTCTTAATAACTGGCTGAACTTGGTAACTTGAGTTCTTGACCTTTTCCTCATGACTGACCGAACTTGTTTTCATGACATATTGAACTTTTCTAGTTGATTGGCTGAACTTATATAAATGATTGACTGAACTTGTCTATTTGACTGACTAAACGTACCTGCTTGACTAAATGAACTTAACACATGCCTTACTGAATTTAAATATTCATTGTATTTGTCCTCGTGATTGACTGAACTTGAACACTTGACTGACTGAACTTGACCACTTGACTGACTGAACTTGACCAGTTGACTGACAACTTGACCACTTGACTGGCTGAACTTGACCACTTGACTGACTGAACTTGACCACTTGACTGACTGAACTTGACCACTTGACTGACTGAACTTGACCACTTGACTGACTGAACTTGACCACTTGACTGACTGAACTTGACCACTTGACTGACTGAACTTGACCACTTGATTGACTGAACTTGAACACTTGACTGACTGAACTTGACCACTTGACTGACTGAACTTGACCAGTTGACTGACAACTTGACCACTTGACTGGCTGAACTTGACCACTTGACTGACTGAACTTGACCACTTGACTGACTGAACTTGACCACTTGACTGACTGAACTTGACCACTTGACTGACTGAACTTGACCACTTGACTGACTGAACTTGACCACTTGACTGACTGAACTTGACCACTTGATTGACTGAACTTGATCACTTGACTGACTGAACTTGACCACTTGATTGACTGAACTTGATCACTTGACTGACTGAACTTGACCACTTGACTGACTGAGCTTGACCACGTGACTGATTGAACTTGACCACTTGACTGACTGAACTTGTTCACCTGACTGACTGAACTTGACCACTTGACTGACTCAGCTTGACCACGTGACTGATTGAACTTGACCACTTGACTGATTGAACTTGACCACTTGACTGACTGAACTTGACCACTTGGCTGACTAAACTTGACCACTTGACTGACTGAACTTGTTCACCTGACTGACTGAACTTGACCACTTGACTGACTGAACTTATGCACTTGACTGACTGAACTTGACCACTTGACTGACTGAGCTTGCTTACTTGACTGACTGAACTTGACCACTTGACTGACTGAACTTGTTCACTTTACTGAATTTGAGCACTTTGACTGAACTTATGCACTTGACTGACTGAACTTGACCACTTGACTGACTGAACTTATGCACTTGACTGACTTAATCTGACTTTAACCTGACTCGAAGATGACCTCAGTTAACTTGAAGACTGAGTTCAGTGGACTTGTGCTCACTTCACCGGGCTTAAGACTGACTTTATTGGACTTTTCACTGAATTCAGTGGACTGAGAGGACGGACCTTACAGTCCCAAGTTCATTCTTACTGGAGGTTTGACATCACTAATAAAAAACTTTTTGGACTGACATCGCCGACTTCACTGAGTGCACTGACTGTTGTTTTACCGAGTGCAGTGACTTATTTCACTGAGTACACTGACTGTTGGTTTACTGAGTGTACTGACTGTTCACCTTCATTTTCTAACTAACCGACTCACTGACGTTATAACTGACTGCGTTACTGACTGGCTAATTAACTTAGATTGAATTACTGATTTGCTAAATCAATGACTGACACACGGAATTATTGACTGACTGACTGACTAAGTAACTGATTGACTGGACTCACTGACTGATCATATATTTAGCAGACAAGTTGAGTCTCTCCTTGACTCACTAACTGGCAACTTGACTGATTGTTGGACTGACTGACTGGCCGATTTACTGACTGATTGACTGCTGACGTACTCCCTGACAGTCAACTTGACTGACGGCTAAAGTTCAACTGACTGAACGACTGTTCCAAGTCACTGTAAACGATATAACTGAATAATTAGACCTGTAATAAAATTATTATTTTTTATATATGATCGTATCTTGACGTAAAATTATGACATCAGAAGGTACACAATGTTTCGCTCACTCCTCCCCCCAGAAGTACAAGTGATCGAAACGTTGTGAAGGTTTATGAAATTTGTCGGTTTCTCTCAACGAATGCAGGAAGTCATCGATGAGTTACGATACTCGTAGCAGTTGTGGCGGAACGTTTCGCTCACGGGCGAACTGTGGTAGAGTCGCTTGTGATCAAGACGTGTTGCGCTTTTGTTTTGGCCATTTTGTCGACATTTTGCCTCCCAGCCATCCATGACAATTGCTGACTGGAACTGTGCGACTGTCAGCTTCCACTCTTGTAGCTGTCAGCTTTCCACTCTTGTGGCTGTCAGCTTCCGCTCTCGTGGCTGTCAGCTACCACTCTTGTGACTGCTACCATTCTTGTGGCTGTCAGCTTCCGCTCTTGTGGCTGTCAGCTACCACTCTTGTGACTGCTACCATTCTTGTGGCTGTCAGCTACCACTCTTGTGACTGTCTGCTACCATTCTTGTGACTGTCAGCTTCCACTCTTGTGGCTGTCAGCTACCACTCTTGTGACTGTCAGCTACCCCTCTTGTGGCTGTCAGCTACCACTCTTGTGACTGCTGTCATTCTTGTGGCTGTCAGCTTCCACTCTTGTGACTGTCAGCTACCACTCTTGTGACTGTCAGCTACCCCTCTTGTGGCTGTCAACAATGGTAACGTCAAGAGACATTACCTCTCTCTCAGGGACGATCAGGGACGACCTTAAGTATTGACAGTCGACTGATTTCCTGCATGACTGCACGCGTACGGTGTGCATGTGTACGTGTGCGCGTGCGTGCGTGCGTACGTTTGTGTGTGTGTGTGTGTGTGTGTGTGTGTGTGTGTGTGTGTGTGTGTGTGTGTGTGTGTGTGTGTGTGTGTGTGTGTGTGTGTATGTGTGTGTGTGTGTAGAAAATGCAGGCAGCTTAATACCTCACAGTCTTGACCAACAAAAAAAATATCATTTGTTTTGGCCTATTTCTAGCCGTTCAATTGAACACCCAACACACGTCAACACATGTCAACACACGTCAACACATGTCAACACACGTCAACACACATCAACACACGTCAACACATAACCTCGACGATAATAAGACCGAATAACCTTTCCTCTAGCCACCACAAGGAGACCTCAGCTGGTACAGCTGCTGCTGCTGCTGCTGCCTGACATTTGCCTCACCTCGTCTAGGCCTCGTTGGGAAACAAAAACACACGTACAAGACCTATTTCTATAACATTTCACTCATAGGAACTTAGGCCTCGTTTGTAGAATTAATAACACGAAATTTGCACCAGGGGTCTACCTACAGTGAGAACCTTCTTCTAGCCTCAGTCTAGAACTAACTTATACGCTCTTAGCATGAAATTAACGTAATTGGAGTTATTCTAAAGGTTCTCTTCGTTAACCGATTTATACATTAACAGAAGCAACCTAAAAGTGATGGATTTTTGAAGCATTTTGATGCATTTCCATCATTTTCATGGCTAGGTAAACTATTTCTAATTTCTGGACAATATGAGACAACTCTGACTAACCACGAGACATTTCCAAAATCAGCTGAGATCAAATCAGCTGTCATAATCAGCTGATGGACTACTAGACAGGCGACCTACAATTATCATTTAGCGAAACAAGAGAAGCAGATACGAGTGGAAATCGTAATCGTTAGCGTTCAAGGTTTCGGTCTTGTTAATTGCACATGGGTCATTAAGGCCGCAAGTCACCTGTACACAAACACCAAGAATAATTTTATCTTAAAATTAGGAATGAAAGTAAACTCTCGGTGTATATGTATACATCCTATTGTACATACACAGAGATATGCACTTCTATGTATATACACTGACCAGGATTCTAATCCTTCTTACGATGACCCAAGTGACATGACTGACAAGCAGGTACTGTGACGACAACAACATGACTATCCCTCCCTCTTCTCCCTTACCCCTAAACACACCTCTCTTCCTCTTCTCTCATCCCACCCCCTACCTCCCTTCTTCCCTACCGTATTCAGAGCACCTAACGACAACCAGCGACCTGACAACTGTACCAGTACAAAGATACGATACAACTACAGTAAAAGTTGACGACGTTCGTAATCGATCAATACAGCGAACTAAGCAGATAAGAATGAAGAACGAACAGTGACATTACATTCACTGTCCGAAAAGAGAGAGAAAGAGAGAAATTAGGTCATTTCTTGAAGTCATTATTTTACGAATTAGACAAACATCGACGCAGGTGACAAATCAGCTGTTTGCTTCTGACTGCCGTTAGTAATAATAATAATAATAATAATAATAATAATAATAATAATAATAATAATAATAATAATAATAATAATAATAATAATAATAATAATAATAAATATTCTTTATTTCTATATGAATAAGATACAACTTATACAGACCATAGCTGACATCAGTGACATACTATATAGAAAGTTCCAGGTTAGGTATAACATTTCCCGCAACTTTGGTTAATTTTGTCCCCCAGGATGCGACTCACATCAGTCGACTGGTTGAGTGATTAGGGCCGGGAGACACGACGTCATGTTGGCACCTAGTGCCTCTTCTTGTCAACCCTCCCCCCCCCCGATTAGTTCCTATAGCAACCGCTACCACAATCTTCTGAGAAAGAAGTGCCAAGTATGGGCACCAGTAGGCCTACTGTAGTGTTCTTCTGTTGTCATGTTCTAGCAGTATGATATTCATGTCATGTTTTTGACGCTACGAGACATCACCTGACAAGTGACATGATATCCAAGCTGGGTTTTTCTTTGACGTGTAACTATGTCACCTGACGTGACATCAAAGATAGTGTCAAATATTGCACAAGCGACATTATCATCATCGTCATCATTAATATCATTATAATCATTATCATCGAAACCATCGCCATTATCATCATTATCATTGTCACTTCCATTATCACTGAAATCACCATTATCATTATCGCTGAAATCATCACCATTACCATTATCACCATCATTATCATTAGCACCATTACCATTATCACCATCATTATCATTAGCACCATCATAATTAATATCATTATTATCATTATCACCAATATTATCATCATCATCCAGTCGTTGATATCACCAGAAAAATCACCAATCATTATATCTCACCTTCCCTCCACTGCCCTTACATTCCTCTTCACAACTTCCCCTGCCTTCCCCTCCCCCTGCCATCCCCTGTCTCTGCATTCCCCTGCCTCCCCCTGTCCCCTGCCCTTCCATAAGCCGGGCAAGAGTGCGGCCGGTGACGGCAGGTCTTCCACTGGTCGCCCTAACGAGTCGTCTGGTCTAGTACAAGTGAACCATATCCCCGAGACGAGTCCGACGAATACGGACCTTATGCCTCCTATCTGTAAGGCTCAAAATCCTTGCTGAAATTCACCCCACATACCCCCAGATGAAAGTTCCAGGTTTGAAAGTTCTTTAAGTTCCAGTTTCAAAAATTCTACCCAGACGCCTGCTGGACGAGGTTTAGAAGAGACCCGTGAAAGCAAGCAGA